AGAAGCAACAACAAAATGACTTATCCCATTGTTTTTCTGTTGATGTTTGGTCTCAATCTCTCTCTCTCTCTCTCTCTCTCTCTCTCTCTCTCTGCCTCTCTCTCATTTGATTAATGGTATATTAATTAATTTTGTGTTCCTCTAATGAAATAACTGAATAATTAATTTAAAAAGAGAAAAGGTTTGTTAAGGCTCACAGTTCAGGGGGTCTTTATCCAAGGTCATGTGGACCAAGGTTTTAGATTCCAGGCAAGAGTGAGACATCATGGTAGGAGCCAGGGACAGAGAACAGCTACCTACCTTATGAGCTAAGAGGCAGAGAAAGAAGAGGGGCAAGCAGGACCCCAAGTCCCCTTTGAGGGCACATCCATAATGACCTAAAGACTTCCCCCAGTACCCTCTTCTTAAAGAATCCACCATCTCCCAATGGCACCACATGCACCTTGGGGGACACCCATCAATCACGGCATCAGTGTTCCAAAAGCCTCTGAGAATGTCACTCATAACTCAAGCACCTCCCTCACTGGACTCACGTGTGTGCTTCTTGTACTGCATTTTCTGACATTGAACAATGCATACGTACCCTTGCAAAGTTGTGTTTTTTATTTTTAATGCAGGGTCTTTTTGGAGAAAAAATAAATAAATGCTTCCTAAGGATTTTCCTAGACTGACAATTTCCTCCAGTGTGGCATTTAACAAGTAGAACTCTGGTGCATGCTGCAGAATTCTGGGCAGACCCACTGGGAAGTCTGGATTGGGACCCTGCTGAGCCAGCATCTAGGTTCTTTTCCATAGGGCTCCCAAGAGGCCTGTTTGCACATTCAAGGAGTAGGAACAGACCACCAACCCCTGATAAGACTGGAATTCTGTCATTTTTATTCTTTTCCAGATGGACTCTGTCAGTAATATTCGTGACTATTCTTTCTCAGGAAATTCCCATCTTTCCAGAAAGACATGCAGAAAGAACTGAAGAATTACTTATACACATTGGATTTGCTTATGGCTTCCCTCAAAGATATGATCTTCTGAAGTGAATGAAAAGGAACCACAGAGGGTCTTACCATCCTAAAAACAACAAACTCCCCTGTCAGTTTTGAGACAAACTTTGGGGAGTAAGGTATTTCTAAGGATGGATGATATCCACTCAGGACCTGTCTAAAGAAATTTGATTTTCATCACCTTTTGAATAGCATCAAGTAGGCAATAAGAATTGATGAGGGCCAGTAAGATGGCTCAGCATGTAAAAGGGCTTGCTGCAAAAGCCTAAAAACCTGAGTTGGATCCCCAGAACTCATGGTAGGAGAGAACTGACTTCCAAAGTTGTTCTCTGACCTCCACATAACATACCCACTTGTAGCACACATGTGCCACCCCCACATATACAATAATAAGAAATAAAATTTTCATAAAAATGAATTAATAAAATGAGAGCAGAACCGGGTGGCATAGGCTTAGAATCCCAGCTACTAGGGAGGCTGAGACAAGAGGATCACAGATTTAAAGTACGTTTGGTTTATACAGCAAGTTCAAGGTCAGCCTGGGCAAATTAGATTCTATCTAAACGCAAATCCTAAAAACGGGGATTGGGTGGGGTGATAGGAATCTAGAAGGATGCATAAAGTGGTTTTATTTTCAAGTAAACAGCACAACTTCAAGAAGAAAATCTTATTTGAAGATAGATTAATCATCTAACAAATTATGAATTAATACTGTATTGACAAGTCCTTCTAATCTGCAGAGCTATGTTCTTTTTTAAATCTCTGTCTCTTTAAACTCTCTCTCTCCCCCCACCCCGTGTGTGTGTGTGTGTGTGTGTGTGTGTGTGTGTGTGTGCACATGTATGTGGCCCACAGCCCACAGTGGTATGTGGAGGTCAGAGGAAAACCTCAAGTGTTGGTCTTTGCCTCCAGTAGATTTGAAATGTGTCCCTTGCTGCTGCCCATGTTAGCTAAGCTAGCCACTGAATACAAGAATTCTCCTTTGTCTCGTATCTCACTGTAGGACTATCAGGATTAAAGACATGTGCTGCTGTGCATTGCTTTACCTAGGTGCTGGGGATATGAACTCAGGTCTTCAGGCTTGCATAGTAGGTGCTTTAACCATGAACCATCTCCCCAGGTCAGCTGTGTTCTTTGTGTGTGTGTGTGTGTGTGTGTGTGTGTGTGTGCGTGTGCATGTGCATGGGGGGCAGAGGTCAAACCCCAAGTGTAAGTGTCATTCCACAGCCTCTGTCCTCCTTGTGTTTTGAGACAAGGCCTGAAACTTGTTGGTCTAGAACTCAAAAGTAGGCTAGGATGGCTGATCAGTGAGCCCCAGGGATCTGCCTACCTGTCTCCTAGAGCTGAG